TTAAAATAAATGCAATTATATCGGCTTTATATCGGCCACCCTGCTTTCCAAGATATCGGCAACCAAAAAACCAATATCGGTCGACCACTAATAAAAAGTAATAATTACCTTGATTTACTTTTTTTCAGTGGCAGAAATGGAAAATTAGGTTTTTAGACTATATGGAAAAAGTATTGGGACTCACCACTTAATTATTGAATTCAGGTGTTTAAATTAGACCCAATGCCAATTGTATACATTTGTGAAGAAAAATGGGTTGTTTTGAAAAGCTCAGTGAATTCAAGCATATTACTATGAGTCCGGTCGTGAAATTTCCTCCCTGCTAGATATTCCATGGAAAGTGGAAGCATTTAGGAACAGCAGCAAACTGTGGAAGTGGAAGACCACGTAAAATCACAGAGTGGGTCACTGAGTGCTGAGGCGTATAGTGCATAAAAGCTGCCAACACTGAAGAGTTACAAACTTCCACTGGCATTAATATCAGCACAAAAACTGTGCCGCTAGAGCTTCATGGAATAGGTTTTAATGGCCAAGCAGCTGCATGCAAGCTTCTCATCAACAAGAACAATGCCAAACGTCAGATGGAGTGTAAAGCACGTCGACACTGGACTTTGGAGCAGTGGAAACTTGTTCTGTTGAGTCACGCTTCTCTGTTTGACAGCCTGATGGGCGAATCTGGGTTTGGCGGACACCAGGAGAACATTACCTCACTGACTGCATTGTGCCGACTGTAAAGTTTTGTGAAGCATATCAAGACATTCTGGACAATGCTATGCTTCCAACATTGTGGGAAAAGTTTGGGGAAGGCCCTTTTTTATTCCAGCATGCCTGTGTCTCAGAGCACAGAGCAAGGTCCATAAAGACGTGGTTGGATGAGTTTGGTGTGGAAGAACTTGACACACAGAGCCCTGACTTCAACCCCATCCAAAACCATTGAGATGAACTGGAACAGAGATTGCAAACCCGGCTTTCTCGTCCAGCATCAGTGCTTGACCTCACAAATGCTCTGCTGGATGAATGGGCAAAAATCCCCACAGAAACACTACAAAATCTTGTGGAAAGCCGAGTAGTGGAAGCCATTACAGCTGCAAAATGGTGTTCGACCCCATATTAATGTCTATGTATTTAGAATGCGATGTCATTAAAGTCCCTGTTGGTTTAATGGTCAGGTGTCCCAATACTTTTGTCCATACAGTGTATGTTACTGTTGTTAGGGAAAGTAAATTTACATCTGTACCCCAAGTTCAGTGCATTTCCAAGAGACAAAACATGTCTGCAGTACGTCTATAATGCCTTAAAATGCTGCCTACATAGGCAGCCAACAAATTTTGCAACACATCCACTCTTTAGCATAAGACATAAGAAACCAGTGCAGTGAAACAAATTAAAAAATAAGAAAGGAAAAAACATCTCAGTTTGTACTAACCCTGAGGAATCAGTAAAGGTGTGTACAGTGATGTACAGACGTACAAAAGCTTGTCATAAAAATTTGCCACCACTCTGTAGGACAGCAGCCACCAATGGGGAGTTGCTATGGTTATCTTCTACCTAGAGTGCATATATTTGAATGCTGTCAAAGATGAATAATGAATGTCAATAGTACAGAGGACAAGGTAATATCATAGTAGCAGAGGTCCCATAACCCTTGGACAAGTGGTTCACTTGTGGGTCAATGATGTATTAAGAGTGTCCACAAATGAATGAATGAATGAATGAATGAATGAATGAACAGCTACGCATCGTGCCTAACAACGCCCCTTGGCTGTTATAAATTCACTGTAAACCACGGCTTCTAGGGGCTTATTGCTTTATTAGCCCTTCAAATATGTAGAACCAACACAACACAGTTCATATGTGAAACTTTCCAAGGTAATTACAGGCCTACAGATTCAATTATGGCACAAATGACAGAAATACAGAGTTCTGGCATGAAACTCTAGATGGCGCAGTCCGACAGGTCTAACTCAATCTGACCTAATGACATCATTATCACATGGAACAGCTGATTGGTTCTCTCCTGTATCGGTAGCCAATGAGCTCGCTGCTCAACATTCAAATATATAGACTAGTGCTTGCCGTAGCAGCTGCAGCTTGCTTCAGAAACCCTCCACCTTCCCCAGCTCCACCTGTATAGATCTGCTACAAGGTGATTCATGTACGCTATATGGGGGTTATTTCATGTATGTTATATTTGCAGCAGCAATATTTCTTACATGCTCACAGCAGCATGTTGTGGATGTATTGGCAGTAGCAAGTCTCGGTACTTGCTCTGCCGCAGCAGCAGCAGCGTAGCAGATCTATTCCGCCAAGACCAAATACATTAACACTGTCATGTACATTACCATGCCAATCCCTCCAAGAGTTGTCATGACAGAAATATTTTTTTATTAAAATATGATAAATGATGTCTTCAGAAGGTCAAAACGTTTCATTTGGCAATACAAGACTTCTGCTCAAGATCATAAAAATGTGCTTCATAGAAACAATTTAATACTGATATTTCATGTATCATTTTTATCAGCGGTTTGCTAAATGAAATCATGGTATAAGGATTGACCTTTTATATCACCCCCTTTTGACAAACATAACTAACAGATGTGATAAAAAGAGATGATGTCATGTAAATTTATGGATTTGTTTAATACTTAAAAAATACCAGGGTTTATATACATTCATACATATATGAAATTATTGTTATTGGAATTTTTGTAGATGTAAAATTTGGCACATTGCTAATATAATAATTTACAGTGTTTTAGAATTATATGCAGTATATACTTGTATTTGTTTAAAATGTCAGTTAGCTTTTATGTTTATATTTTGTTTTAATTTAAATGTTATTAAATTAATATGCTTTTATCATTTTAGCTTCGGGTTTTCATTTAGTCATTTTAGATGTTTTCATATTTCATATTATTTTATTTCAGTTTTATTTACATTTTTCAGTTACATTTACCTTTTTCATCTAATATATATAGATATATTTCCAGCTTCATTTCAGTTAATTAAACTTTTTCTTTTTATTGTTTTCGTTTTAGTATAACAACACTGACATTTACACATTTGTATATGAGGGCCAGAAATGGCATCTATTTTGTGGAATGGCCCTGGAAATCCAATCCAGATTCTAACTGGAATAATGAAATAATCCACACCCTATCAGCTCATCATTGCTAAATCTACTATTCACATGCTAATTAGTTCAGTATTTCTCTAACTCCATGTCACTTTCTCTCTGTAAAGACTGTAGTGGTCCCTTTTAGGCTCATGGGCCTATAGTTTGTCTTTTTACAAATCAGACTCAGGAAAAAGGCTGCACAGATGTGTTATGTCATGACCGGGCCCACACAGAATCTGTACCAATGACATTAATTGGAAGTTGTTCCTCCCTAAAGGCTTCCATTCAGCTGGGAAGACTGGAAGGCCATTGGATGTTGGCTGTGAGGATTTGCTCTATAAGGCACAAAAGCATCAGTGAGGTTTGAGATGAATTAGAACATAATTTCATAGATTTCCCTCCACGATCAATGCAGAAAATGTGAAAACGAAAAGTGCACATTCTGTGTGGATCTGGTCATTGCGATTCTCTCTACCTGAATAACTGCTTCTAGTTTCATAGCAGCTTTCTGAGATCTTTTCATCAAGAGATAATGCAAATATGATTTAACCACCGCAAACTGCAAAAATGTATCAGAATGACTCACAAACGTAATTTCAATAATCAAATCAATAACACTGTCAACAGGGGGTGTCTTTTCCATTAAAATATTTTTATCTGTCATAGGAAATGACTGTGTGGTGATACAGATAAAAATTGAAAGTCACAGATTTCATCGAGGGTTCATGTTTCTTCTCATTGGCATGAGGAGAAACATTCATACTTTTTATTTGAAAAGTACCACAGGCATTACACAGTTTGAGTTCACTTGTTTTCATAAAGGATGTTGATTTGAGTCTGGGACCACAAGTGAATAGCTTCTATTTTAATGCATTTCATTATAAATGATATTGCCAGCATAAATATGTGAGTGAAAAGCTCAATTGAAAAGTATTTTGTACATTCCTGTACTTTTTATGTAAATTTTTTAATTAAAAAATTAAGTTGTGTTTATTTCCATATTTAAATTTAATTTGAATCCCATGTTTTCAGTGTAGTTTAATTAACATTTGTACATTACCATGCCAATCCCTCCGAGAGTTGTCATGACAGAAATGTCTTTAAAGTGCAAGTGAAATGAGTCATGACTCCCTGGCAGCCGCACCTGTAGGTGTGTCACTGTGGTCAGACCGTTTCACACACACACACACACACAGTTTGTGTGTGTCCTTCTCATATTCCTTTCATTATAATGGACAAGCAGAGCATAACAACATATCTGCTTTCTTTGAGCTGTTCCCAAATGATCTATTCCATACACACTGACAGATATGTGACAGTCAAACCTAAGGGCTTGACATGTAAAAGTTCCCAAGGAGCAAATGGCATTTACAACTTCTTGTGACACAGCAGGAGCAATTTACTGTTAAGACGACCTTACTTGACCTACGACGCATTCGGGCTTTTATGAACATTCAGGAGAATAAAATACAATAAAAAACAATACAATGTCTGGAAGTGAAAGTTTGCTTTGGGTTGACCATTTGAATTCCTTACACAAGCACAACACCAACATTTGCAAGGTAAATGAGCTCTGAGTGAGCAGGAAATATGATGTATTTCTAAAGTAAGGGCCTAAAAAAGATGCAGTGATGCCTTGACCATCAGCAGCTGATCACAGAGGTGTGACAGTGCATGCATCAGACAGAGGCATAAAAGCACACAGCACAGAATACACTCGAGCTGGGATGATTGCCTGTGTTTTGCTTTGCAATACTATATCTGGACTGTTTTTCTCTGTCAAAACTAGCAGTTATCCAATTTCCGCTTGCTTCCAAGGAACCACAAACACTCGCATCCCACTTAAAAGCGAAAGCGAGCATCATGCACAGCTGAAACTCACCTCCGTCGCTCTCCGCCCGTGCAGTCCGTCGGTGAAGTGTGTACTAGGCATTCACATGAGCTCCGTCCCGGTGTCCCGGATGTTGCTCCTCTGTGACGTCACGCAAGTCCAGGGAAGCGCCGGCCTCCGCGGTGTGGGCGTCATCATCCTCCGCGAGAAAAGTGCTGTTGCTTAATGAAACAAACACACTGCATTTTCGGATTAACTGACATTACAATTATGTATATAATAGTAGGGCTTTTCATCTTTAATGCCTTGTTTGATAGTTGAAATGAATGTAAAACAGCGCACTCTAGTGTTTTCCAGTTAAAAAAAAATAAGTGCACGCAATTGTTAATAGTTTTTTTTTTTTACACACATTGCTTACACACATTTTCAAAACTTTGCCTGTTTTTTTTTTCTTCTAAACTTTACACACAAATCCAAGAATTGCACACAATTTGTCTTACGTTGCAAACACCTTATTATATTTTTGGATATATCATATACACAGTTATTCAAAACCTAAAGCTCTTCTTTCATGAGCTCCTGTGTACATTTCTGTACAGGATCACGATCAAGATACTTCCTGTGTTACATCGAGAAATGTGTGTTGTGTTTTGCAAAAAGAGAAAACTGAGTCAAAGGCTGAGAGTTAGTGTATGGTTTTGCAGATTTGTTGTGTGCTTCTGCTGTTTGAGTGTCAGCTTTCAGAAATTGTGCGACAAGTAAAGATTTCGTGTGTAAGCAGTTGAAAAAAAAACTGTAATAAATTGGGTGCAATTAATATGGCCTGTAAATGAAAATAAATATTATAAACAAAACATTCAAAGTAACTATTCTTTCGATTTTATTAATTATTTATTCTTTACAACAATGACAAAAATCACCTATCCTACACACACTAGTCAAGAGTGTTTGGGAATATTCACGCATAATTTATGCACATAAAAACATGAAACTATTTAGAAATCAGTGTTGGGGGAGTAACTAGTTACATGTAACGGCGTTACGTAATTTCTTACAAAATAAATGTTACTGTAATTATCAAGCAGCCCTGCCCCTTTTTAAAATAGCCAATAGTGTTCGTTTATATCACAGCTTCTTTCGATTTTATTAATTATTTATTCTTTACAACAATGACAAAAATCACCTATCCTACACACACTAGTCAAGAGTGTTTGGGAATATTCACGCATAATTTATGCACATAAAAACATGAAACTATTTAGAAATCAGTGTTGGGGAGTAACTAGGTACATGTAACGGCGTTACGTAATTTCATTACAAAATAAATGTTACTGTAATCAGTCACGGTTACTAAGAAAAAATGTGTAATTAAATTACAGTTACTTATGAAAATGTTAACGATTACAAAGGAGGTTACATTTTAATATTTACACACCTTCACATACAGATTTAATTGATTTCTTTCCCATACGGCCCTATAATTTCCGCGATGCGGAATCCAGTCATAAAAACGGAAGTCCTAGAGCCTAACGCGGACGGAATATGCCACATTTTGGACGAAAAAAAATGTAAAGTAGGTCAGTACACTTGAATCAAAACGCGATATGGACTAGTGTCTGTGAATATTAAGCCGCAAAAAGACAATATATGAATCCTGCACGTTCTGCGTGTCTGTGGAAATTTGTAATGGAAAAACATGACTCATGTTCAGTAACTAATTTTGACATGTACGATATTGTAGTGATGTACTAATTTTAAATCTTGAGTATTAAAGTCATGAGAGAGATAGATATCAGGGCAAAATAAAGAGACTGAAAAGAAAAAACGGAAGTGAAGCTGCAGTTCAGGAGAGAACTTTTAATTATTTTGCATGTTCCCAATTTAAGGATTTAATCCTTTTTTATGTGAGGTCCATACAAAACATAGGGTTGTCCATGTTTCAGAATTTGTTGTGGGTGTATGAGTGTGAGATTTCCCGGCCTGAAATGTTTTCCCAGTCCGCCCCTCGTGGAAATTAATGGCGCAGAAAAGCGGTTTCATTTACTACACATAGGCCTACTGAAGCTCGCGGTGTTTTCAGCCTCTGCCGCCTCAATATATGAGTACATGAACACATAAACAATCTCTAGAAC